AAAGGTACCTAGCGAGTCCGGCATTTCGAGACAGGGCCGCTTTGGATGTGGACTAGGGTAGAGCCTTCGTGTAAATATCGTCAGGATATGGATAGACTATGAAATATAGGCATTCCGAGGTTCCCTGTAATTAATATATTCAGAATCTAGACGCCTTGTCGACGATTAGGAAGTAGTGATGTAAATGTTGCATTAAATTTTGTCCTGCGGGAAGTGGGGAGGTTGACGGCAGAGCCCATCACCAGTCAAGTATATCAGCAAGAATAAGCCTCCCACATAAATGTTCCCGAGGCCATATGAACCATGAGAGAAATAGTTCGTAGGCTCCAAGTTCAGAGCCGGACATTTCAAAGTGCTGTGATGGGCCGATACCACACAGTAGACTGATCTGTCTTGGCTTCACAGTATTCCGGTTGACTGGCCCAACACACAACACACTTTCTTGCTTCGCAGTAGAGAGAGCTTGACAAGATGGCAAAGTGGAATGTCCAAGGCATTGGTTTACCCAGTAAACTTACAGAAACAATCCCCATGTCTTGCTGTAGTTCAAGATTCAACTGGAGATAAAACGTCAGCTTGTACGTTATTCGGACCCTTTCCAACTGACCTAGTCTAATTTCGGGCTGGGTATTCAGTACTGAGTTGAACCCTGAGAATCTTTTATTTTACCATTCGTCCAAGGCTCCTTGATATCCTTGGCCCACCGTCACATTGAAACTTTCACGCGAGTCCCTCCCATTGAAGTTTGTGCGCGATGAAACTCACCTACTTCAAGTTAAACTGCTTGTTTTAATACTGCTGCTCTGTGAATATTTTTTTAGATTTAGCCTCATCACACAAGCTCAAAAAGGAGGGCTGTGCGATAACCCCATCACTGCCGATATTTATATGCAGGAGGATCGACTTCCCGTATATCGATTTTTGCCCCGCCCCTCTCACTGAAAGCCTGTAGTAGTTGGCTGTTCGATCCTTGTGCAGTGCACTGAAGGACGAGTTGAGCGCGGCAGCGATAGAAGATCTGGGCGACAAGACACCGGGCATTATCCTGAACCTCAAACCTTCATCATCCCTCAGACTCAACCAGTGGATACATCATTTTTCCTCACTGCTAGTAAATCTTTGATCACAAGTTTATCGTGTAGTCATAGCAGCTTGACGTGGTTTGATGTGAAGCATGGCAATGAGCAAGCGTGAGAAAAGAACTGTCTGTTGTTCATACCCCTTGTCACTAGCCCACTCGGCTGCTGGTCGATCAGCATGCAAACTTTCCTGCTGACTCAGCGTACATGCCTCTGTGCGCCTCTTGCGCCGAGCTATTTTCTTCGTGCCATTAACCTATCCTTTTTGCAAATCGGATGTTTGGCAGCATTTGATTGGACGTTCCAGCTGCTATCTCGTAGCATCTGGACCCCATGTATAGACTAAACTCCAATGAAAAACGTCTCATTATGTGCTAGTAGAGTGGGGTCCGTTAGTTTTTGCATGTAGCACATATATCCGCCTAACACTCTTGCTTTTGGCACGGGATGGATGTGACAGCTATGACGAGAACGTTTACGTACTGTCTAAGGCATTGAAGATTTTTATGCTCGCGATAAATCAATGGGTGTATTTGACTCATTTGCGAACCTTGACCAAATATCAGCAGCGTCGATGTCTGAACACACGTCGGGCATACGATTCGAATGAGGTGTTTCCATGCGGCCGGGTATAGTTTGGAAACCCGCAACGTGGCGTCGTATCATAAAGAATAATCTGCTTCTCTATTCGCGTTGTGACTGCAAAAGTATTAATGGCGTCCCTATTGTTCAAGGTCAGCTACCTCTTCGTTACGTGCTCCTTTTTTATTATTATCTAATGTGTATTCAGCTATAGATCTATGACACATGACCAGTGCTATGTATACATGTAGGATGACTCTTTTGACGATAGACACTCATACTCTGGATTTCTCTTGCAAATACCACTACGAGGTATGCTTGCTTACACAAACAGTCAACCCTCCTCCGTGAGTACCCACCAAAGTTTCCGTGCTCCTATATTGATTCTTAAGTCGTGGCAGACTCTGAATTACTCGTCATGATAGTTTTGTTCTGTTTATTTACTTGCTAGGTTCATGTCACCTATCGCACTCCTACTGGAGCTTAAGCACGAGTGGGGCCGGGCCGGATCAGATTAACTACCATAAAGTACAGATATACTACGTCTCACCTGGATTTCACCTTTGTGTCGAATCATACCAAGCATAACCGTCCAGAAACCCGCCGTGTACACGCCGTAGCGCAGATTCCTCCTCAGCCTCGGCCACAACGCGCCCGAGCCCTCGACATCCTCATTGACTCCGAAATATAAATTTCGTCCCAGTCCTCATTATTGCTCTAGCCTTGCACCTTGAAATCGTTCTGTTGGGTTGTTGTTGTCGTCGTTAAAGATTTGTGTCCGTCACGACAGTAAAAGTAATGATATCGACCTGAGTCGCTTAGCAGCGCCAAACAACCTATAAATAGCCTCTCTAAGGGTGTGAGGTCGTGCTAAGCCCGAATGGAGTAGTACAGCTTGAAGGAGAGAGAGATGAATTGCCCCAGACCGTCCAATGTATCCATCTCCAGAGCTGCCCCCGTCCTAGACCAATAAATCCCTATCGCCCCATTCCCCACACTACCCCGAGAAAGCAACTCGAGTAAGCGTGTGCCGCCAGAGAGACTACCTCAGATTACCTCGACCAGTGCCATAATCCTCTCAGAAAAAGCCTCGAGGCGCACAAGAGACATATTTCGAAGAGGGCTGTAAGAGACCCCGTCTTACTCGTCACCATGAGCTGACAAATAAGCCCCTGTCCTTCGTGGCCTGCCCCGGCTCCAAAGTCATCAAGGCGAAAGTAATCTGCAGTCATATCTCGACTAGCAGTTCTTCCTCCCAGCCCTGCAAGGGTAGGGCCTCCTACATAAAGCTGCGACTACATAGACTCCTGAAATTTGTGATAGCGCCTCAACCAGCTGCTTTGGGCTTCTGATCTTCCCAGTCCTAATTAACGCGGAAATTCATTCATCGTTGGGCACCACAAATCATAACAGAGTTTATGTGCCTATTTGATCAATCCACTGCCTGACATCAGTGTGACAAGTTCGCATTGAATCTGCAACCGGATTATGTTATAATCAACTGTTAATGTAGTGAGACATTGGGATTGAAGGATAACATGACCTGGAAGCCCTTGGACATTTGTCTGTTGACTTCTTTGCTAGCCTGTAGCTTGAAGTATTCTGTTTAAGGTGCGATGACCTCAGTGATGCAGACCTTGTTTACGTAATGGTTATTGAATGTGTTCATTTATCTAATCAGCCTATAACTATACCAGGGTATGTAGGTCCTCTCCGCATACAGGCTGAGGGTTTCCATGCCTCAGGTAGTGTATACCCACCTACGCCTATTCCACCACATTTTCGCGCTAGAAGAATCACCACAGGTCTCAATTTGAGTAGACGCTTTGAGGAATAGTTGTCCCAAGATTATTCACCCTCTCAAACCAACAGAAGAATAGCAATTTGTGGTTGTATTGCTACTGAAATAATTCTCAAAGACCAACGAGTGCGGGGCTCTTCTACCTGCACAAGTACTGAAACCAAAGACATAGCTGACCTTTGAAATCGTTCGAATAAGTCGGCTGGTCGTCCGGACGCAGCATATCTGTGTATACTCAAGCCCATTTCCCAACATTCATAGCCTTCTACCTGCTCCTCCCCTAATTCATGCCACAAGACGAACTGACGGTCGCGAAAGGATGTCAGGGAAATCTTGGTCGAGGGCGACTGCTGTGAAGCAGCTTAGCCTGGAGTCAAAATGTCGTCATGGACGTAGGGTTGGTGAGTAAGTCGTGTAGTTTTGATTCCTTTCTTGCGGGTATGATCGGGGGTGAAGGCGTATAGGGATAATTTTATCGACGAGTCAAAGTCTGCTTTTTTTGGAGGGTGTAAGGATCTTTTCTTTGGCCGCTAGTACATAGCAAATATTAGGGTATGACGAGAGCCTTCTCCAATTCACGACTTAGCGTTCAGTGCCGCGATATTTTTCCTGTTTGCTAGCATAATTATCGCTGTCTTGATTCTCACATGTGCTGTCGAAAGCGCATCTTTGGGGAGGGTGAGATAAGTCAAAGTTAAAAATGTGTTTTTCAATCTCGGCTCCGGAGACTACAGTGAAAGCTGGGGGCTCGTAGGGGACATTGCTGACGGGTGCTCGGCTTCCTATTCCTCTGTTTTACAAAGCTCGAACTGTCCGTTAAGATAAATTACTCTCAGTCTTAAACATTATTATCTTTGTGATAAATATGTTTTCCACTAATAATTCTGCTTGATCAAGCGTATTACAATTCTGTACTTCCGAGTAATGAGTGTGGTGAAGTTCTAGGCCTAATGGGGGGCAAAAATTTCGAACACCTTATTTCGAGCAAGATAGATCTAGATGATGAACAGGCAATATTTTTTTCTGAGACTCAAAGCTTCCAGCACAACGGTGTAACGCTATCTCTCTTCCATGGCGAAAATTGTACGGTAGTTAGGGATAAGATAATCAATGTCATGTGTGTTCACGAGAAATCAGCCTATTCGAGCAGACAATGCTGCCACGCAGATGTAGCATTCATTTGCTCTGAAAATATGTCGGACGATTTTGTCTTGGTGAGCCTGTCCATCGGCACACTGACTCTAAGCGAAATGACTAAATATATCGAGTTAGCTGCTTTGACTACGCTGAGGAATTGTGGACGATCTTGTGCTGACTTGAGTAACTGGCCCCGTCCCTTTGCTGTACCGCAAAATTTCTTAAACGGCCCGCTAACGTCTGCCTTTCTAGTACTCTCAAGCCAGACTTATCTGATTAAACTTGGGATTCTTTAACCATTTATAATCTTGAAATTAACAGCCATCTTCAAACCCCACCGCCAATAATACTAATACACTAGCACTTCAGGTATTGGTTATAGCTATTAATCCTTGATAAAAATGCCTCACCGCGAGGAGAATGTCGAGCGGTCAACTTCACCCGAAAATTCATCACGTTCGGTGAAACGGCGCCGTATGTATTTATCTCCGTTGGCACCTATTTTCGCTTGTCCAAGTTTACTATTTCGACTAAACCTGATTCGGATACTGCAAGAGTCATTTCCTAAGCTGTCTAAGCTCAGAATATTATACATTCTTCTAGATACACTCTTTTCTCTTCACAAGAGCTGACGTTTTTGGCATGACAGGAACACAATCACTTCCACCACCGGCACTTCCTCAGCTGGTCGCCGAGCAGCACATTCCCATTGCTTCAACCGACAAAGACACTCAAAGGCTGATTGTAGTACTCTCAAATGCTTCCCTTGAAACCTACAAGGCTAGCAGTATTTATGGCGGAAGTCGCCCAGGCAATCAACGTGAGGAGAAATATTCATTGCTCAACAGCGACGAGCACATAGGAGTCATGCGTAAAATGAATAGAGACATCAGTGATGCGAGGCCTGACATAACTCACCAGGTGAAATCGGGATTATTCTATAACATAGATGCTTGCTGACTATTTCTAGTGTCTTCTAACACTTCTCGACTCCCCTATTAACAAAGCTGGTAAACTGCAGATATACATACACACTGCTAAAGGTGTTCTTATTGAAGTCAGTCCGACTGTACGAATTCCTCGTACTTTCAAGCGGTTCGCTGGTCTCATGGTTCAACTCCTCCACCGTCTGTCTATCCGTTCTGTAAATTCACAGGAAAAGCTCCTCAAGGTCATTAAAAACCCCATATTAGATCATCTTCCTCCAAACTGTCGGAAGGTCACTCTATCATACGATGCCCCATTAGTCAAAGTTCGAAAGTATGTCGAGACACTCTCCGACAAAGAGAGTATCTGTGTTTTTATTGGTGCAATGGCCAAGGGATCCGATAATTTTGCCGATCAATTCGTTGATGAAAAAATATCAATCAGTAACTTCAGTCTCTCCGCGTCTGTCGCGTGCAGCAAATTTTGCCATGCTGCCGAGGATGTGTGGGAAATTATTTGACTCGTGTTTCTTATTTGGGCCTGGAATAATGCGAAACAGGAAAGATTGGAAGATGTCAACAGCGTCAGGTAAAGTTGAGACTAGTGGATTATCGGCTCTGATCACAACATCACTGCTGATTCCCCATTCTGCGCTTTTGTAAATTTCATGTGTAAAAGTCTCCGTTTTTACAACCAAAACCAGGCGCTACACACGACCTACAAGCTGTGAGAGTCGTAATCGCCGACTTTTTGCTATATGTCAGATCATTTCCCTCCTTCCCCTAGTACAGAGTGAAGACTTTGGGCAGTCACTTATCACTGTAATGATGGCCGAAGTTTTGGTTTAGTGTACAGAGCGCGCAAAGAAGTAACGAGAAGTAACTTTTTTAGGGCTAGGATACGTCACTTGTTTACTCACCGACTGCTATTAGGGGCCTGTCTAAACTAAAAGAGAAGGATCATGTCAGGGTGACGGCATTTACCAGCAATATTACAATGTGCGTTTCATTGTCTCAGACTTCTCACGCATAGTAAGAAATTTTTATCTTGGCCACGACTTCCCAAGACTCTCCGCGTTCAAATTTCAGTGACCGCAGCTTCAGCCTCGAATGAAACTTTGCTACCGTGAATGTGGCTAGCCGAGTGCTGATAAAGCAAGGGCTGTGTTGCCTTTCACACACTGGCTTCACGCCCAGCATAACTTCATGCCTTGGTGCCGAGGCACACAGGGTTTCACAGCTTACAGATTTGTCAGTCGAGCGAAAATTACTGATGAGAGGCAGCTGATTTATTCCTCCCCCTACCCTAGCCTACAACTAAGGCTCCCGCACTCGCAATTAGGAATGGCCAAGTGACAGGTCTCTGTAGCTGACTGTAATTGGCTCCATGCCGAGCGGCTGCTAAGGCCATTGGGTAACAGTAGCCGGAGGATCATGGCGCTAGAATAGTCTTTGGTCCAAGTCTGCGATTCATAAGTGGTGCCTACAGCCATGACAACCACAGTATTCTCAATTATGGCACCGGGTGGCCCGGGGAGAGATGCGTAGGAGGGCGGCGCAGCTGCGAGTAAGTGTTGGCGGCGCCGGGGGTGGACAGAGTCACGAGGAGAAGGTCTGGCTGCGTCGCTCTAGGCGGATGGGGCATATGCTATGGTAGCAGGTTCATGGAGTAGTCTTTTCAGGCCAACGTGCCAGCAAACTGAGTGGCTACCGACTTTCATGGTGCGGCGTCGGCTCAGCCAAGATGATGTGGAGAAGCCGTGGCCTTCATCATACGTGCTGCAGACTTACCCCAACTTCCCCCCACCCCCGTCCAGTTTGGAGGCCTAAATTCGTAGATGTCTATGATTTTGTGCACGCCGCCAAGTCGTCGATTATGCAGTCGATTGTGCAACGAGGTGGGCCATCCACTGGCTAGTACCATTGCTGCTGCTACTGCTACTGCTGCTATAATTATTACTACTACAACTACGACTGCTGCTACTGCCGTCTACCCCCCCTTGAGTGTTGGGCACGGTACTTGCTCCGTTTCTTGACTCATCCCTACTGGCATTCCACACACTCCCTCCCTCTTCGTACATCGGACAATTATAACATCACTTCCACCAATATCCATCGCCCCTCTCTGCTCAATCCTCATCTGACTCATTTTTCAGCGGCCTTTCGTTAACCTCCATAGTCTACTAGCATCTAAGAACCCATCTCTACTCTTCCCTATTCCCTCCATCAGCCCACGCCGCCAACCTGTCAGAAACGACGCATATCTAGGCCTCTCGTGTTCATACAGGAAGAAGAATGTCACATCACTTTTCTTTAGTCCCGCAACAATCCCACGCCATTCCTTCTCATTTAATACCGCAACCTTCGCCGCACCCGCACCCGCACCCTCAACATCATCCTCATTCGCACCCGCATCTACAATCATATCCGTATCATCACCCACAGCCGCACCCACAGCCGCACCCACAACAGCCAATACACACTCATCCAAATTCGCCGCCATTAGTTGCCTCTGTCTCGCATCTATCTTCTGCCACCTCACTCTATGCATCCCTTCTCCTACCGCTTTCCATTCAGCTAATTCATACGAATCACCACACCCAGCCGACCAATTCATCCTTTGGTCTTGTCCACTGCTATCCGCCTCAACAAATTCTCAACTTAACGCAGGCACCACAATACTTTCCAATTCAGTTGACACACATATTTCTCCCGGCACCCAATCCTCAAGCGCTGCGTGATTTCTGGGGTCAGTGTGAACTTCTTATACCTGGAACTGTTGGACACATTGAGAAAATCGAGAGTGGCGAGAGGTGTTGTCTAAGAGACTATGATGGTAATCTAATTGAGGTACATTGGTCTATGCAGCCCATAGAAGGAATTACAGTACCCGCAATAATGAATATGGACACTACAATACCATATCACAGCTCTAGGGATAGAGAACTAAAATATTATCCCCCTCGTCAGCGGGATAGTACGCGGCACAGGGAAAGGGCTCGTGGGGACAGAGATAGATTAGAGAGAGACAGAGTAGAGAGAGACAGAAAAGAGAGAGATAGATGCGAGCGGGAGAAAGGCGGAAGAGAAAGTAACGATAGGAACCGCGGTGATCGGGATCGAAGAGATCGAGAAAGAGACAGCAGGAACAGAGATCGAGGGAGGCAACAGACGTTCCCCTTAGGATCCTCATCGTTTCCCTCTGCAATGCCACCTGATAAAGATACTCGACGTGTCCTGCAATGGCAAAAAGACGTGGCTCGCTCAATATCTTTGCCAGATGAAGACTACTCGAGCGATGACTCGGATGAACATGTAGATCGGAAAGAATTACCCCCAATTTGTGCCGCTGGGCATCCTTACTCTGATACCCCTTGTCGTGAGCGGCGTGGACGAGATAAACCATCAGCTCCTGATTCTCGGATTCCCCAGAGGGCTGGAAGCTATCCAAAAGATTTTGACAGGGAAAGAGAATCCCGAAGACTCCAAGATCGTCCAAAGGTCGGAAGAAGAGAGACTGTAGCTGACATGGAAAGAAGCCGAGAGTATACCAATGGGGACTCCCGCTCAAAACCATCTAGCCGTATACAAGGTAAGCAAGTTCTTGGATCTTTGATCGGCGGCGCAGCCACGGCTGCTGTCGTTTACGGAATGATAAATTCACGTCCCGAATCCCCGCCGCCCGTGTCGAAACCGCGGTATCGACATTCTTACGCCCACAATTCACAGTCAGATCCATTCGCCTATCGAAGTTCAAATAGAAGAAGAAATCACAGCGTTGGTAATAATTATACCATAGCAGACCACAAAGGTATCCAAATGATAGATAGAGAAGTATGGGCTGCTAGGAGAGACAGCGGTATTGGTGGAATGAGTGGTGTCAGTAGCGGTGGCGATCGAGTGGACGAACAAAGTTCCTCTAGTGGCACGCGACAGGATTCTTACAAGACGGGGCCCAAAGGGAGCAGACTGTCCGAGGAACGTCGTTACCACTATCGGGACAGCAGTAACCGACGAGAGCGGGGTCGTGACGGTGAGTTTAGAAATAGGTATAGTCGGCCCCTAACTATACTTCCTGCTGCACCTGAACCCGGAAGCGAGTCTAGTGAAAGCTCTGAATCGGACTCAACTAATGAGTCTGAATCAGCTTGCGAGTCTGAAAGTGAACGAGAAATAGAGAGAGAAAGGGTCCGGAATAGACAAAAGCGTAGAGCTAGAATCGAAAAAGAACTACAGAGTGAGAAAAAACCAGAGAGCGATGTTGAGGATCGAGAAAGGCCACTTCATGATCGACCAACAGCGCATGCTGAAGATCAGGGTTTCAAGCAAGACTCTAGCTACGCCTCGGCCAAACCATATCACTCGCCTACTCTTTCCGTAATATCTCAATCACTCAGTTCTACCTCTGGATCGACTCTTAAGGCAGAACGTGAAATTATCTCTAAAGTACCAACACCACCTAGTGCTATGTCACCACGTATTCGTAGCAGCTCACACCCTCAGCGTGAAAGAGACTGGATACGTTATCCCGAGAATGAAACTACCGAATACTACACCGATCGTCACCGAGGCTACGAACCAGCATACGAGTATTCTGCGGCTCCTCCAGTCACAGGGCCTTCATACTCGTCCCACCACCATGGTTCAAGAAACCGCCATTCGGATGAAAAGCAGCGTAGTTATAGGCGCAGTACACGGGCTACGAGAGAAGTTCCACCTTCGCCTAGTGGGACTGGCTATGAATATCCTGAGTCCGTTTCGCCAGGTGATAGTGTAAGTTCTGCTGATAGTAACAAGTATCGCAGACGTCGGACGCAGAAACATAGGCGTTAGAAGTAAGGGAGATAAAGATAAAAAAATAGTGGTGATTTGTGGATACCCTATTTTGTCAACAAAATTACACTTGAGACTATGCTCTTCGAGCTACATGCTCTGACACAAAATATTTGTACTGTATCACTTGGAAGGTAATGGAGTGGGTGTATTTATTATTTGCAGAAAGCCACTCATTTGAAGACTTGTTCGATGACCCATTTCGGCTCTTTTGTTGTATTTTTGTTCTCTCCTTTTTCATTAATTGTGAGGATTGGTGTTAATCTAGGAGGAAATGAGATTTTTATAATGAGCCACGACCATAGAGCTGCTGCAATGATTATGATGAAATGTTGCTACAATAAAGTTGCGGGAAACCGATAAATATATTTGGTGATCCATAAATCCTTGGTCCATGACTTTAGAGTTTCATTGATAAATTTTAGCTATAACACTTACTACGTGAATCATATTCTTTAAATTTCAAGTAGAAATAACGAAACAAAAATGACGTAATTAAAAGCTGCCTTTATCTTCACAATGGCATGTAACATGTTAAGGGCCTCGGATTTTATCAACTGAGGTAGCCAGCAGATTTGGTAAGGCAGTGACTAGCGCCTGTATATTCAACTATTGTCTTAGTCACTGCACAAACCAGTATAAAATCTGATTTTGATTATTTTTTGGGAAAGCTTTCAGTCTGGTGGGATTAATATTCAGCGATGTATAAATATCTTATTTTCGTTGAAAGCCCAGATGCTATTATCGCCTCAACCTATGGTAGCGAGGCCCTTGTATAATTCTGATAAGTTTATGTCCCTTTGAATTTGAGTCTTCCACGTTGTATCGCTGTTTTCTAATTTTAACTCATCATTTGCGCTGGCTTACTATGATAAATGTGCGATCTTCTGTTTCATAATAAACGTTGAATGCAGCTCCCTGTAAAATAAGGTCTTTACCCGAATGTTGAATTGTTCTCTGTTAATGCTTTGCTTTGCACGAAACTAGGAAGTCTCCCGATTGATAAATAATAAGTATTAATGCAATTACCCCCCATCCGAGCCCATACATAAAACCCAGGTCGCAATGTACATTCATTGGTGAAATCGTGAAGTCGAATGCACAAACAGTGTTGTATGTAACCATGATAAGGGATGAAGATATTAAAATAATTAGTCTGGGGGGTATAAGTTGGCAATTCCGCGAGCCATGTTCTGGGCTATGTATGCCTAATTTAAACTGCTTGTACGATAGACTTAAAAAGAGACAAATAATTGACCAGCTTGCAAGAAGAGAGAAGGCGGCAATCTTGAATCTGATATCGGTTGCGAAAGGGCGAGCTCGTAGGTAGGTTTGGCTCGGGCTTCTTTGGAGCTCAATATTCGTCCAGCGCCTTGGAAAAATCATTAGGAAATTCTGACGATTAGCGATTTTCTGAGATAATGATCGAATACGTACCATGCAAATAAGAAAGTAGAATAGCACAGGCAATAACACCTCTGTATGATATTGTCGAGGACATGTGCCGAAGGATGAATAATTAGCATCTTCCGTTCGCTTCTTGAGGACGCTGCCCCAGTGGCGTATGGTCTCCCATATGATACATATACTTGCCAAAACAGTTAAATGCCAAAATATGCTTGAGAGGATTAGGGGCAGCTCCGGCAAATAGTATCGGTCCACATCAATATCGGCAATCGAGCTTGTCACAGCACATGATGCCGCGATCAGCGCCCAATACCATTGAAATCTCGCCCCATGTACATCAGATTTTTGATGAGAAGATGGAGAACGCTTTGCTAGCTTGCGCAAGTTTACAATGGTGTAAATAATAGAGAAGGCGAAAAAACAGGCAAATATTAGACCGATCTTTGCTCGAGCCCTTATTGGCCTAAGAGGGGAATAACATGATATTCCGTCAATAAACGTACCATTGGGTAAGAGTTCGGGAATTTTCGACTCAAATATCAGAAAACAACGAGATTCATTTGAAAGAGTGTGATTAGAGTATAGGGTATAATTCATTTGGTTAAGCATGGATAAATTCCAGTGGGTCTCCCTAACCAGGTCATCACTGAAGTTTTCGCTAGGTTGAACCGCGGGAGCCATGTCGATGAAATTTAGTTTTACCTATAGTTGTCTCAAACATTTATTCAACCTTTCTGTTTGAAGGACAAAAATATGCACTGATGTGTCAAACAATAGGATGTATATTTTCAACGAATATGTTTGGACGTAAATCTTAGCCTTGACATCCACGGTAACTGACTGCTGGTTAATTGTTAAATGTTTCTAGTGGAATAATTGGCGGGTTAAAAATTAAGCTGGATCGGTATCTACTTGTACGTACCAAAAATTGGCCACTAAGAGTTGCCATGTGAGACATCGGAAAGAATGTGCTAACAAGTAAGCAATTTAGCTCTGTGCGCAATTGGTAGTCTACTAGAACACAGACAAATGATATCAGTATCCTTGATAAGCTCCTAATCTCACCTCAACAAATTACATACATCAAGGAAACAATGACCGAGGACGATACATGTTACATTGATTACGAAACATTCCTTACACCCTCCTTTTCTCCAGCAGGTTTTGCTAACTCTCTGGTTCTTGGGACTAACAATCCCACTGATGTACCTCTCGACCTTTCTACGCCTCTCTCCAAAGTACTATTTGATATACAAGAGATTAATACAACAATCGATAACTTATCGACTCAACTTGCAGTTCCGCTTCTCACGCATGTACAAAGCCAAATAACATCCAGTGAAAGAATTGGTCAAGAGATAGAGTTTCAGGTAGCGAGCTTGACTGATAGCTACAATAGACTTGAAAAAGATGTTTTAATACGATATGAAACTGCCGAAGAAGTAAGATCGGTTGCCGAAAGATTATGGGAGACAGCTCGTTTAGGCCGGTCTGTAGGAAGGTTTTTACAATTAGGAAGACAGTTAGAAATTCAGGTTTCTGAGATCGCTGGTACAGGGAATACAGAGAAGCCACAAGGGCAAAGAGAAGACCATGCAGCTCTAATTCGTTGCTCGAATACATTACTGGGCCTACGAGAGTTACTTTTGAATAAGGAGGGAGAAGAGGGGTACGGACTGGAAAGAGTAGACGTGGTGAAGACGTTCCAAATATCAGTTTTAATACCTGCTGAAAGGTTGGCCCTAGCAAAATCGCGGCAAGTGATACAAGATTTTTCCGTCAACTCTTATTCTTCTACATACAGCCAAACTACTGATATTAAGGCCAAGACGACTTCTGCATTAACAACGCTCTTTCTACTGTCTCCATTCCAAAATTCTGAAAGCTTCGACAAATGGGTACCAGAATACCTCGTCAATTCTATTAATGATTATCTTCGTGCTTCATTTTCTTCTTCCCTTGCGTCTTTAAATCGAGCTCTTACATCTCTACCCATTCTTGATCGAACGCTACTCGAGATTTCAGTTAGATCCCAAAATATAGTCTTTCTTGAATCGATACTCATGAAAACGCCCAAACCAGCTCACTTGATTTTCTCAACAACTACAGACCCCTCACAGAATCTTCTACAGCCTGTACTTGCTTGCTTAGAAATTAAGTCTCTGACATCATGGTTTTGGAGAACGTTAGCTGAAGGATTAACAACGAAAGTTATAGAGCTGGTCAACAAAGGTGGAGTGAGCGTAAGGAACCTTCGAAATAATAAAAATAGTATTAGAGACGCAATTAAAGATTGCGTCATAAGAGGCGTCCAGCTAGTAGGCACAACAGAAAAAATACCTGAAAGTAAATGGGAGAGAGAAGTAGCAGTTATGGTTGGAAGTCTTATGGGCCCTCTCGGCAAGTAATGGCAGTATTTGGGTAGAGAGCGTTTTCTCTGAAGTCTGAGATGAGATTGTTGGCCTTTACAATCTTTCCTAAGTTAACTGAAGTTAGGCTTCATTAGATTTGTCCCTACTAGGCTACGCAAGTTTTATCACCATTTGGATTTGTTCTAGCATGACACGAGAAAAGACCATATCCTTTCCTGAAATTCCTAAATAAAGAATGATTAATTTGTTGAAGATCGATTCAATCAATCGGCTACAGTTGATGTTTTTGTCCGGGTTTGTTTATTCGCACTCACTTTCTTCCGTGTACCAATCTGTTGGAAATATCGCGCAATGTAATGGGCGCAATATTCATGGAACGAAAGTAGAAGTTGACTAAAAGAGTGTCATGTTCGGATTGCAGCTAAAAGTGTGGGAGATGTGCGCTACAAGTACAAGTGTAAGCGACACAGAGCCTAAGCCACAGCATAAACGAGTGTGGCGCCATCTAGGCATAGAAAACCCCCAATAAACTCCTTGCGCCCACGCCATACAGCCGCTCATATGTCCAATAGGTAGCCTGAAGCGCTACCATATTACCTGTTCCAACCTCTTAAATACACACGAGATCGTGTCGGGAACCTAGACGGAATGGAGGGCCCGTACGTCCACAACACTCCGTGTCTCCATTTCCAACACAATCAAAAGGCAAATTCAAAAACCTCAACATTCTGACTTGCTTGGATCAAACTTTCCACTAAAGTTCCTTGCTAGAGTGGTTATATTTCGTTGAGGCTTGAGTAAAAGATCTCCAGTCTCGAGTGTGACAGATACCCTAGTCATCTAGAATATACTAAATGGTCTATCACAGATGAGCTATCACTATATCAAAAAACTCTAGACTGTATGGGCAAGCAAATTTAATCCTTTATTAGAGTTAAGTATTATGCTGAGCCTACAATCCTCCTGAGCATATTTTACTGGCAAAGGCGAATTATTCCCCTTCTAGTGGCGCCGGTGTAATCGCTCAGTTTTCTCTGCATATCTGTGATAGCCAAGAATAATCGCATCCGAATCGAAGTCTAAAGCAAACACAAGCATATCTACTTTCGACGAATCTTCATCAACACCTCTCTTATCATTCTCACGCAATTCCCCTAACTGTATCTTACGACACATCACGCATCAGCGAACGATAAAGAAGGTACTCAAATTACATATAGGAGCTTGCCTTATCTATCACCGGCTCTCTTCCACTACTAAATTTACGACTATACAAACCCATATGGAGGAAAATAAGTAATAATGTAAAAAGTTCAGGTCTTCGTTTATGAGGGGCTATTGCTCTAATGGGGCTATAAAACTTGAGAAATGACAGGCAACTGGGACGTGGAATGAGAAATTGAAAAGGTCTATCGTAAGCACTATGGGACTGAAATTTTCGAGGTGTTTTCAATCTTGCAACGTGTGTGTGCGTCAAGACCAAAGGTTTCGGCAAATTAACCCGGAGGACTTAAAATGTCGATAAGTCAACGGCACTCCCCAGGGCCCTGTATGGCACAATAGAAGTTGGGCTAAACTTCTATCCATTTATCATGCTCTATCAAGACTATTCTGGCATTTCATCACGACCTTCAGGAAAGGGTCCGAAAGAGGCTGGGAAGGTGTAACAGTATGCCGCAAATTCACGATATATAGTCGAATACACTAAGTTTTTCTCATTATTATAATTCCTTTTTCAGCTCATGTGGTCCAGTGGTTAAATTATTCATTCTAGGCTGTCACAAAAGGCAAAGAACGAATTTCCCCAGGTAAACACAAGTCTGCAGCGCCCAGCTGTTCAGCCTCTTTGAACGTTTCAGAGGGGTCACTATGTTTTCGGACTTAGTACTGATGTCGGTGTTAAGAGAGCCCTGAAGTGAGTGGTTTTTTGCAAAATTTCTCGGCTGCCATACATTGGCAAATGACCATCGTCTCGTAGGATAGAGTGGGGTGTTACTGTTTGAGGGGAGCTTTATGGGAGGCATAGGAGGGAATATACTACTAGATAGGCATCCTTTGCCTACAATTAGAAAAGCCCTGGACGTCATGTATAGTTTAAGATATAGAAATAATAACATTGTAATAAACAACGAAGTTCTCAAAGAAGTTGCTTAAAACTAGTCACAGGGGCATGTAAATTGACTAGAACAAGGGTTCAGGAACACGAAACCGCTATACTTCATATAGAAATCTACTTGGAGCAACAAAGAGTACGATGTGTAGGCCGTTTAAATTCCCTACCAGTCCAAAAAGCTATTCTATCTGCATGTAATATGATCAAGCTGCCCAAAAGAGGGAGAGACGATATTCGAGCAAAAAATAGAAGAGCAGACCTTGCCTACTGGAGAGAGATTTGCGTAGAGGAGCAATCTAAAGTGTTACAGAAAGAAGCGGTAAAGGTTGCAGTATACCTAGAATGGGCGAAATCTTGATCTGCCCTAAAGCGAAGTAGCCTAGCAATCCAAATTCGAAGCGAGCACATTGGGCTTAATTCGTATTTGCACAGAAGAAATGTACCATGAGTCTATGATCCATGCTGTCCATGTGGCTACCAATCACAAAATCCCAAGCATATGATCATGTCCTACCCTGAGTGCCCGTCTCTAGCTCTCAGCGTAGATGGCGGTAATTAGATCATAGCACAAAGCATGACAGGTAGGAAAATGAGACGAGAAGTGTCCTTTTCCAACCACAAATAGGATTATTGGCTTTGGAATTTTGGTTATGGGAGTTTGTGGGAGCATTTATTTCCTTTCTTATAACTAGCTACTTGTTGTGTAGTGGGTCACGCGGTGAGACCGAGTCGGGCATATGGGAAGCATATCTCGGCCGTGTGCACCGGTCCTTGACACCTAGGATATATTGAGCATAGCTTAGGACCTAAGAATTAAAGAAAAAGCCCTACCCTGAGTGGTCAAATGGTAGGGATGAGATCTAGAGAAAAGCCCGGAAAAGCTCCTTTGAAGAAATGATAGACAATCCTGGCGATATTAAAAGAATTACACAATGGATTCTTAGTCATGATTGGATAGAATAATTCCGCATGAACAATGCAATCGAGAAGCTGATTAGGGAACCAGATAGGACTGGCACAAGGTTGGGGTCGTTACAGCGGACCTGACTAGTACACATCGACGGTACTTCAATGTAACTGTGCTTCCTGAAGGATAAATCGCGAATTTCAAAGATACAAATCAGAAAGCTAGGTAAGTTTTCACCGTGAGGTTTCCTATTATATAAATATGTGGATAGGTATATAGCCACCTGCATAGGCCTATAGGGCGCCAAAAGAGGATTATGAAATCAGATCAAAATGTGATATACAAAAAAGTGTTCGTTTCTGAGTTGATATGCAGCTGGTCACTAGTGCTACAGGCTGTAGCCATGTTAGTCTGGAACCGCAGTTTATCCGGTCCCTTGCCAATCGCTAACATATTTGTGGTCATGCATAATTATTGCTTATGTAAGGGAAAGCCATATGCGACGCGTGGTATTACATTCATGAACATCCTCCCAAGGTATGCTCTTAAGATAGAATATAAATTCTAATTTGGGCACTCATCAGCTACGAACTTATGTTCCGTCCTTTCACAATTAGAGACTAGAGATGGGAAAAACAATAAGTGTTTCAATTGTGACTGGGGCTCGTCAGGGTTACTTGCTTAGTTAATAGATTTGATTTTATCGTATGATAAGGCGTTCGCCGAATTTCAAATAGAGAGAGAGTGTGTGGGATGCGTTTATTGTACTACTTGGAACTTCGACTATTTAGCACATTGAGCTTCTCTCTAGCCCAGGCTATACCTTGTACAGTGCTCCTATCCTCTTTTGTTACTTCAAATATCGTTGAGAAATTTTCCGTAATGAATAGCCGTTCATCTAAGTATTTACCCGTGGAATTTGGTCATCTTTTCCACGGAGCCTTCTACCCAAAAAAAATGGTAGCAATGGAAACTGCGTGCGCAGGAAAAAGTCTCAAAAAAACCTGCAGTCCCGGCCAGGCGAGGCCTATGAACCGGGGCCACATGAGATGCGCATATTTATCTATATCTCCCTTCTTAGTAACAGTCGAGGCTGACTTGATCTAATCCACCATCTTCGCTGGGAGCAAAAGGTGGGTTAGCGGGCACCTTTGATCCAGCCGAGATCCTGCTATTGGTTAGTAAATGCCCCAAAAGGGACATAGTTGAGGTCGCTGTGTCCTCAAGCCTTTTCAGATTCCAGCACTCCGAAACCTGCTCCTTCAGCCATCGAAACATCCTTCGTTTAGGCCATGATTGCCTCTTCGGCCCTTTTAGCTGCAGCCCTGCTCGTGCCGTCTCCGCGAACCTCCCTTGCTCGATGTGACGAATACACACGAGCTACTCTTTGGTAACCGGTCCAGACTTTCTACGCCTGGCTTGGCAGCCCCGGTAATCCGATCAGTGAGGTCCCCCACAATTGAGACACTTAGTGAGAGCCTTACACTCTGTTTCCGAGCGCATATTGGATCCGGATTTCCAGCACGCCGGAGCGCGGGAGTAACCACAAGTGGCATGGAAGCCCAAATAACGTTTGCACTGTTCGATTGGTCGACGAGGCTTGTAGATGGTAGCAATACCAGACTCGTCGAGAAGGCAGAAGCCCACATGAGGGCGGGATCCTAGGCAAAAAGGGATTGCCAAAATCTGTACGACGCCCCAGGACGGCATGTCCCATGCCGTCGCACCTGGAGTGGAACCTTTGGGTTGAGATCTACTTAGCATCGACCGTGCGAATACCGTTGAGTGTTCTTGTGCTCGCGGGAACATTCGCGATCCGGAGGGCGGCAAGGTTGGAGGCTTCTTCGAGCTTGGCGTTGAAATCCGATAATTTCCATGCAGCAACTAGGAGTCTTTCCCTTGTATTTTCATCCCTTGTTAGAATCGCAAAGCCGGTTCTGAATCAGTGGAGAGAGCTGGCGTCACCCAAGGCGCACTGCACCACATCCTGTACTTTATTCCGTACAGCACAAGGTG